TTTCCACATGTTCCAATTTCACCAGTGAGGAACAGTGTCCATCTTCCTTCTAGTCATATTCATCACTGCATTTGGGCTGTGTAAGACCTTCCTAATACAATGTTAGCTTTGCCATTTATCACTTAACAAGGACAATTAGAGGACTTCGAAACAACAAGGGCTCCTGTACTTCCTGTAATGCTCTATCCTTAATGGATGAGTTTCAAATTACAATGAAGCCATCTGTGAAAATGAGGCATGTAACTCACATCATTTGCTTCAAGTGATGGTGTGCCAACATCTTGCCTGTTTTGGGTTCCGATTGAAAAAGTACTGCAGCGCGTTTATATACCAAACAATCCTACATGGTATTGCTCACCTTCAGGCAGTGGGCTTGGCATTCTGCAATAGTAGGGATTTTATATTTTCTGAAGAATAAGAGGTGATCTCAGAGAAGATTTATGAAATTCATTGAGAATGTGACAGATTGTAGCTCATGTGGTCATTTCTCATTTTCTTGTCTCCAGAACTAGGGGCTTTAGACTTTGAGAAAAGAGGCAGACATTCAGACCACAATGAGAAGTTTCTTCACTCAGAGAGGATTTTGAATCATTGGAATTCTCCATCCTGATGCAGTCAATACTCAATCTATGAGTATATGCACAGCAGCAGTTGATAAAAAAAAATGAGGACGTGTACAGATAAAGCTGGAAAACAAAGCAAAGGTGGATGATCAAGCCATGAATTTAAGGTATGGTGCAGCAGGCTTGAAGGGCTGAAGTCACCTACTCCTGTGCCACATTCTTATATTGTTCTGCAAAGGTGATTGAGAAAGGGGTGAATATACCTCCTGCAGTTAATGTACACTTTAATTAAGTTTTCTAATTTATTATTTGTAGATCTTCTATCATTTGCGCAAATCTGCACACTGCAGTAGACTGTCAAGGCTAGGGCAGCACGATAGCTCAGTGGTTAGCACATCTGCCTCACAGCACTAGGGACATGTGTTCAATTCCACCCTCGGGCAACTGTGTGTGGCATTTGCACATTCCCTCTGTCTGTGTGGGTTTCGTCACACAGCCCGGAGATGCACAGGTTAGGTCGTTTGGCCATGCTAAATTGCCCACAGTTTCCAGGGATGTGCAATTTAGGTGAATTAGCCATGGGAAATATAGGATAGAGGGTGAGTCCGGGTGGGATGCTTTCTGGAGAGTCAGTGCAGATTTGTTGGGCTGATTGGCCCATTTCCAGACTGTAGGGATTCTATGATATATTCAGGGCTGAGATAGATTTTTAATCTATCAGTGAATCACGGGTTATGGAGAAAAGTCAGGAAAATAGAGTTGAGGATATCAGATCAGCCATGATCTTAAATGGTTGAGCAGATTTGATGGGTCAAATGTTTTATGGTCCTTATCGATGACCTTCTCAGATAGTCAGAAATTGGGGTGCTCATTGATGGTTGTACAACATTCAGCACCATCTACGACTCCTCAGATACTGACGCAATCCACTTCTGGGGCCTGGACAATATCCAGGCTTAGGCTGCTAATTGGCAAACAACATTCATGTCACACAAGTGTCAGATAAGTGCCATTTCCAGAGAGAAAACCTAATCAACACAGTTTGACCTTCAGTGTTGTTACTGCCATTGACTTCCTCTAATATCAACATTCTGGGGGGTTACCATTGACCAGAAACTAAACCGGTCTAACATATAAATAGTGCAACTATAAGTGAGGTCAGAAGCTTGGAGTTTTGTAGTGCGCAACTAATCTTCTGTTTTTCCAAAAACTGCCCATGATCTACATGATACAGGTTTGCACTGTGATAGAATGGATGAATGCAATTCCAACAAAACTCAAGAAGCTTGACACCATCCAGGACAAAGCATCTTACCAACTTGGAGTTCCATCCACCAATTTCAATATTCATTCCCTTCACTATTGAGAAAATGCACCGTACAGTAACTCATCAGGTCCCCTTTGACTCTCCCAGCACCTTCCAAACCACAGCCTGGGCCGTTTGGAAGGACAAGGGAAGCAGATTCTACCTGCGGGTTCCCTTCCAAGTTACACATCATCTCACCTTGGAACTACATCATCATTTCTGCAGCGTAGCTGGATCAAAATCCTGAAATCCCCTTCTTAACAGTACCATGGGTGTCCCTGCACACCGGGGATTGCAGCAACTCAAGAATACAACTCACCACCACCTTCTCCAGAGCAGTTAGAGGTGAGTAATAAATGCTGGCCCAGCCAGAGATACCTACAGCCCATGAACAAATAAAAAAAAAGTGATTTTTTTTGAACACTAGGTTTTTTTTAGATAAAGGAGTTTACTCTTTGGCACCATTAACAGTTTGAACTAAGGAGTTATTCCATCCTTTGGATTTTCACCCAGTTCTGTATGCAGTGACTGACATCTAGTGGATATCAACAGCACATCAATCACCTAGCATTGCCTCTGCCTGCACTTAAATTGGCAACCCTTCCAGTCAATATTTGACTTCATGCATAAACTATAAAATCACAGGGACAGCAGTGGTTCAAGAAGGCAGCTCACCACCACCTTCTCAAAGGCAACTACAGATGGGCAATAAATATAGGCCTAGCTAGCAATGCTCATGTCCCACAAGTGAATAAAAAAAATTCAAATCCATTAACATCACAAAGTGTTTTTAAACTATGAGCTAATTATTCCCCAACCTATTTGGCTTAAAATAAAATCAAAACTCTATTGTTTGGTAGGTCATACCTGTTCCTTTCACTATAGGCTTTATCAGCTGGGACCAGAATCCTTCAGTTCTGCAGTCACGTGGCACTCCATGTGTAGCCTCCAGTCTTGATCCATTGAGCCCAGCTTGACAGTAACTAAATAGCTTATTTCGTTTCCTTTAACTTTCACGAACATTGTAATTGCGAGGATCATATCACCAGCTGACCAAAAGTTTGGTTAAAAAAGAAACCTTTAAAATGTTGAAATTTATGTCTATCTTTTTGTTCCACAAAACTGGTCATTGAGTAACAGCAGTGAGCAATTGTGCCTTGGACTGAATGCAAAACAAAAGGCATTTCTTTTTATTCCACTTGCTGACTCCTGAGCTAAGCTGAACGAGAACTGAATGATTTCAATACCATCTACCAAATGAGAATATCATGCTTCATTTTGTAACTCATTATGATTTGAAACACTTTTGATCAAAATTCCGGGTTTTGCTAGATTAGATAAGAAGAAACTGTCCCCACTGGCAGAATGCTGTTCGATTCTAAACTGGATTTGGGAGCAGAGGGACCTGGGTGTAAATATGCACAGATCATTGAAGATGGCAGGACAGGTGGAAGGATCAGTTAATAAAGTGTACAGTTTCCTGGGCGTTATTCACAGGTGCACAGAGCACAAGAGCATGGCGATTTTGCTGAACTTGTACATGACATTTGTCAGACCTCAGATGGAGTATTGTATACAGTTGTGAACTCCACCTTATGGGAAAGATGTGAAAGCATTGGACAGAGTGCAGAAGCAATTTACAAAAATGTCTCCACAAATGAGAAACTTCAGTGATGAGGATGGTTGAAAATATTGAATCTGTTCTCCTTGGAGAGAAGAAAGCTGAGATGAGATCTAATCGAGACATTCAAAATCATGAGTAAACTGGATAGAGTGGATAGGCAGAATCTGTTCTCACTTGTAAAAGAATCAAAAGCGAGAGGGCATAGATTTAAAGTGGTTTGCAAAAGAACAAAATGTGATATGAGAAGAAACATTTTCACCTAACGAGTTATTCAAGTATAGAATGCACTGCCTGAAAGTGTAGGTGGTGGGTAGGTTCAACTGAGGCATTAGTGAGGGCACTTGATGATTATTTGAATAGAACAACACGCAAAGGGAATTGGGAAAAGACAGGAGAATGGCACTAATTCAGAATGTTCTTAGGACAGCCAGTGAAGATACAACGGGCTCAATGGCCTCTTTCTGTGCCATAACACTTCTGTGATTTCATGAAGAATCTATATCCGCAGGATATCGGTTTATGTGAAGTGATGAGGTAATTTTACTGGAAAGCAGTGAGCTATTCCCATCTCAAATGTGCTGCCTGATAGAGTGGAAGCAGATTCAATGGTGACATTCAAAAGGCAATTAGATAAGAATCATAGAATCCCTACAGTGTGGAAACAGGCCATTCGGCCCAGCAAATCCACATCAACCCTCTGAAGAGCATCCCACCCATACTCACTCCCCACCCTATCCCTGTAACCCTGCATTTCCCATTGCTAATCCACCTAACCTACACATCCCTGGACACTATGGGCAATTTTGCATGGCTAATCCACCTCAATACTCGATGGGAACAAAATACAGGGGTTACGAGAAAAGTGTAGGAGAGTAGACTAATCAGATAGCTCTACCAAAGCACCAGCACAGTCGTTGAGGGGCTGAATGGTTTTCTTCTGTATGCTACATTCTACAGTTAGAATCATAGAACCTAGTGTGAAAGGAGGCCATTTGGCCCATTGAGTCTGCACTGTCACTGAGGTGATCCGACCAAACCATGGCCCCTACCCTCTCCTCGTAACCCCGCATTTATCATGGCTAATCCACCTGGCTTGCACATCCCTGGACGCTACAGATAATTTAGTGGAAATCCACACTCACACAGAGGAGAATTTGCAAATGCCACACAGACAGTCAACTTGGGTCCCTGGGCACTGTGAGGCAGCAGTGCTAACCACTGAGCCACCTTGCAGTCGAGAGTCTGTGAGCTCACTTGCAATTTCTGTGACTCATGACCTACTTGTTTGTGCCCACCCTTCTTTGATAAAACCAACTATTTTGTTGCCTTATACATCCTAATTTTACAAACAGTAACTGACTGTTTGAACCTTCTGTGGAGATCAAGCAACAAACAGAGACGGAAAGTAAGAGAGAGGATGGGGCTCTTGAATTTTTCAGCTGTTTTCTCCCACCTTCACTCGTTTTCATACATAGATTGGCAGAAAAAGATAAAAAGTAGCAGGAGGTTGAATAAATAAGCATTCATTTTATTGAATCAGGAATAATTTAAGACTGGTACAATACTAAATTTGTTCCCCAAATGAGGCATAGTCTTGCACAGGCCATATTGAATCCAATGGGCAACCAGACTTGATTCAAATGGGATGACACAGCATACAGTACACAAAATACTCATTTCCTAGTGTTTTAAAAATGGCTAGAAAATTCATCAAAATCATCACTGTAATCAATTATTTACAATTTATGTTACAATGAAAAAATGTACATCATATTAAACACATTTAAAACAACTGTTCCACTTAAGTCACTAAATTCTACAAATAGTTTTCTATTGAACAACCATGTGAAAAGTTATCACAAGTAACAAACATGGGTTTGGTACGATAATCATTACCATGATCAGCATTTCATCATTAAACAAAATTCCCCAAAATTTACAGTAAACACCACCTCGAAGTCAAGCCAAAGCCATATACAAGTCTCCTTCAGCCTGTACAATTGTTGGCAGTTTTGAAAAAAGAAAGAACTTTTTTTTGGCTTCCGTTAAGAATCAGCATGAACATTGCATAGCATCTTAAACTTAGAGAACACTATCAAATAACTGGACACCATGATGTGAAGGGAAGCAAAGAAAGATTTCTGGAAGCATTTTCAAAAAAAAAGTACAAATTTGAAGAAAAAAAAAGGTGAGTTCAGGAGCAGCTTGGTGGAACGCAGCCTTGCACTCCAACAACCCACTCTGTGCTGAACCATTTCTATCACAGTTTCAACGTTACAATTGAGAGATTGTGACCAAGGTACCGTAACAATAGGATTATGGCAGCATAAAGAAACCCATTGAGGTATAGGGGAACACATTGATCAGCCAAAGTGTATGAACAACAGATTTTGTGTTAATACATCACATAAAAAGCAGGGTACAACAGCACAACACAACAAGCACTCCAATTATAACCTATTACTCAGTCACTGGATGATTTCAATATTTATACACCATTATCTTTGTAATGTCCATCAAGAATTATTTTTTGCAGCGACAGTATCGTCTTTCATACACAAAGTCCAAATTTGCAGTTTAGAGTTCTACCGTAGGATGATTCACTGTCACAGTACAAACACTATAAAGTTGCAGACTGGTTATGAACCAAGAAATCATTGACTTTCCTCCTTATTTGTCTTGCTTCTAACAAATAACTTGCTTGTTACTTGAACCAACACTGACTTTATAAAAACAAAAACTTGGCTCTTTTAATATTTTGAGATGAAATTCCAGCCCTGTCTTCAGAAACAATACAAAATCAACGGCAAAAGAAAATGCAACAGGAAAATCAGTATCAAGAGAGAACGAGAGTAAGGCATCATTTATTTCCAGCACCAGACGTAAAAAAGGCTTGCGTGGATTTGGCTGAAGGTTTGCGTTTCTTCGCTGAGGTACAGCTCAATCCAGCTTTTCTTTTTGTGTTTTTGCAAAGACAAAGTGCAATTCCAGTGGAGGTGTTATGAGTCCTGGTGAGGAGACAAGCCTTAGTAACAATCAAAATGTTTGCACGTGTGTTTTCAACAAGGAAAGGGAGAGCAGGAGAAAACAGTGACCTTCAGTATCGATTTCTGGCTCAACCATGTGTTCCAAAGTCACGGCCTTAGGAAGAACCGTGCTTCCTTTCGACAGTCAGCTATTGGTGATGAGACCTGAAAATGTTTTGCGGAGACCGTGGATGAAATGGAGACCAAACACACAGGGCTTAGCTTGTTTTCTTTTAACCCAGCCAACTGCAAAATAGCAACAAGGGGGTGGTAACATAGCGCCAAAAACCACATGCAGTTGACAGGGTTTGCATTTAACACCTGCAACAACACTCTCTGCCAACCCACCCCCACTCCTCGCTCTCCTTTATTGAAGGGAGTTGATTGAGATTTCCAGTGTTTGCTGACTGTTTGGTTGAGAGCAGCATTAGATTCAATCTTACCAGGACAGTACATGGCACAATGACATTAGTTCCAGACCTTGTAAAATCAGGCTTCACTACTTCTGTATGCAGTGCTCAACATTTCTTCATTGGCTTAGCACTGATGCCTCCAGCAGTTAGGTGAAGGAATAGTGCAGTTTATGTTTATAAAACAAAACAGGGAGGGGAAAAAGCCCAAAATGTAGTCTCCCTTGGGTTACCTGCACCCACCAGGGTTTCAATATTTAACATTGAATTAAAGTGTCTCGTACTTGAAGACCCATTTCTCTTGTTATAACTGAGGCTTCTATCCAACAAAGTGAGCAACAAAGTCATTGATTGATCCTTCCCTCTGGCGTTTTGAATCGAGTGTTTCAGTCCTCAAGTTGCATGGCAATATTCGGAGAAATGTTGGACAGAAATGGTAGGGTTATTTTGGCAGAACAAATTGATCAAAGTGTCGATTCAAGAGATGAATCGAGAATATCGTCATGATGGCTGTTGCTATTGGAATCGCTGTCGTAACTATGGGGACTGGAGCAATTTGCAGCTTCTTGCAGCCTCATTAACATATTCATCTGGAAAAGTAAAGAGAAATTGAACAGGTTCAGTACATTAGGTTCAGATTGAGAATGCATGTTCTCACAGTTTATGAATGAAAAAGAGAGGTACCCTTCTAGAATGGCAAGAGTCAAAACTGCAGGGAATTCATTCGGCTGCAAACCATTTCAATTACAGATATTTCTCGTTCTTTAAGTCCTATAAATGGAAGTCCTTATGCAATAGGTCTAAAGCAGTTTTAAAGGAATAAAGCTATTAGTTTTGAAATTATTCCCAGCTACAAAACTCTTTTGTTCAGCCCTTTCTATTTTTATTTCACAGTGAAGTGAGCTTTCTTGGGTAGTGCCATACTGCATGTGTTGGATGGTATAATGTTTTGGTTAAAACAAAAGTCAGCTGAAAAATAATTATCAAGATAGAGGCCTAAATTTTGTATTGAGCGAACTCCAATCAGCAACACCTACTGTTCATTTCAAATAAAGCTACCACAGAGTGATCTTTCAAGCACCAATCTCTTTTCTGGGACCAGTTTGAATTTGGCACTCTCTACAATGGATTTGTCTGCTCTGATGACCAAGTCAGGCAGCACGGAGACTGACTGATCAACCAACTGGACTGAAGATTCCTCACAGACAGCAAAGCAGGAAGTATAGGGCAGGAAGAACATACGCATACAATCAGAGAAGAAAGCAAAATAAAACACTTCGAATTAAGGAAGAAAGTTAGATAACTTAAAAAATATTTTGTCTTTAAATGTCTGTAACAATCTGAAGAAGATGTCCCGACCCGAAATGTCAACTTTCCTGCTCCTCTGGTGCTGCCTGGTCAGCTGTGCTCCTCCAGCTCCACACTGTGTTATCTCTGACTGCAGCATTGGCAGTTCTTACTATCCCTTCAAAATCAGAGAGGCTGTTCATCAATAATTATTAGTTAGAATGCTGTTAAAAGCTCTGTTACTCCTGACTGAACAAAGCTTAAATTTCCCATTTTTTTTTCACAGTGAAAAGAATGCGTGTTTCGGTTCAGTTCATGCCAGATCAGTGATTTCAATGCAAGTTTTGAAGTGAAACTGCAGCATACATTCTTAGAGGAGCAGGCTATGAGGGACAGAATTCTCAGATTTCTGTGTTGCTCGTGTGTTGAGACCAGAAGGTGTAGTCAGTTTTGCTCAGTAACACCAGCGAGTGCCAACATGACCACATATAAACTTAATACCTCATCTCACTCCCATAGCCAAGGGGCGTGAGTTCGAACGTACAGATTGTTGAACTCCAACTAATCCTCTCTCCTTTCCCACTGTTCGTGTACATCGTGGAACATGACCCATCATTTCCCAATATACAAATCCTAGTGAGCTGTAGTTCCTGGGGTTGTTACAAATACTGAAGTGTAAAGATAGCCTTGCTAAATTATTGAAAGAGAATAAGCTTCAGCCATGTACGGAAAAGCAAGAGGATAAACATTGGGAGGCTAAAAACTTGGAGAACTGAACAAGAATGTTGGCCTTTATAGTGCAGACGTTATGCAGCAATAATACAAAACCCTGGTTAGACTGCACTTGGAATACGGTGAGCAGTTCTGGGCACCATACCTTAGGTAGAGTATATTGGCTTTGGAAAGAGCACACACAGGTTTACAAGAATGATATTTGGAGTTCAGGGGTTAAGTTATGAGGAGAGATAAAACAAATTAGGCCTATTTTCTCGAGAATTTAGAAGGTTAAGGGGTGATCTAATTGAAGTCTTTAAGTTATTAACATGAAAAGACAGGGTAGATAAAAATAACCTATTTCCAATGTTTGAGGATTCTAGAACTAGGAGACACAGTCCGAGAATTAGGGCGAGACTGTTCAGGAAGATGTTACGAAGCACTTCTACACAGAAAGAGTGGTAGAAGTTTGTAACTCTCTTCCAGAAATGGCAGTGAATGCACGATCAGTTGTTAATTTTAAATCTGAGACAAAGCTATTAAGGGATTTTGTGCCGAAGGCAGACTAATGGAATTAGGCCACAGATCAGCCATGATCTCATTGAATTGCAGAACAGGCTTAAGGGGCTGAATGGCCTATTCCTTTTCCTATGTAACATCATAGAAGTACCAAAGACAATACAATGCTCCCTTCTGAAGACCCATTTACAGACGTCAATCAATGGAGAAAAGCTCAGAGCCAGTAGAGGGGAAATATGCTTATGGATGGATTAAACAAGCATTTTATCATTGCCTTATGGAATCAAAGTTTCCTTCAAAATTGTTTCTCAAAGAGGGAAGACAATTCATTGCTGAATGCAAATGTATCTTAATGTTTTCCTCCCCTTGAAGCATTGTGCCTTGTTTCTCAGCAAAATGGCGAGAAAACAAAGTCATCTCATTGCTATAACATCCCGATTTTAAATTAGTTCAGCTTTAGGATCTCTGAAGTTAAAAAAATTGGGAATAGGAAAAAGACAGGACAGTAAAGTTGAGGATGATCAGATCACTTTCATTGGGCTGAATGGCCTACTTCTGCTCCTGCATCTTAGGGTAAGACGTTTGTTGCCCAAGCTATGGCAACTGAATTTTAAACAGCTTTGCCAACTCACAAGGGGGTCTCCTTCAGCGTCGCTCTGTTGAGGTTGTTTACTTGAACCACCTTCTCGTGTCAGGATAAATCCATCAAAGCCTACATCTTCAGGCCTCAGCTGCAAGAGCGGGGGCCACTCATGGTGCTGGGGAGTGGCAGCCCATGGGTACGAATCCATCACCCACTTTGCTGGATCCTCCCAAGGAACTCTTCTTCCATACAGCTACAGGAGAAGACAGGTCGATTACATTGCAAGGAAATCAGGGGAAGGGAGAGACAAAAAACAAACCTTCTAAACACGTTTCAACTGAGTCTACATTGCCAACACCAAAATTACAAATGTAACTAAAACAAAAGAAATGAAATGGCTCCTTAAATAAGACATTAAATAAGATTAATTCACTCTGAATGGTAAATTGTTACAAAGCTAAATTAGCAGACAGATAAAGTCAGCTGTAAACTATCTGATTTCCAGGGGGTGGTATCAGTTGACCTCCAGCCTGTAAAGAGTTAACGTCCGAAAGGATTTACAACAAGAGAAATGGTTAATAAATGTGCTGGATGTGTGTATCCTACACGTGAGCTGTAATCAATCCAATTTACTGGTCCTGCTCTGATATCCCCTTTCTTTCAACCACTACCCTTCAAAACCTGCTGGGTGAGTTGCCTGCTTTTTAACTGATTCTTTTAATGAAAGGCTATTTTTCATCCACAGGGGATGTATTTAGTGATTCATGCAAGGTTCTACTGAGGATTTTGATTGATGAGAATTCAGCTGTAGCTTTTACATACCTGCAACCCTTCCCTGACTGCCTCCAGCAGATAAGGGGTGATGGAATAATTCCACAAGTCTGTAAACCATACTCTTGAACCATCAACATCCATTGGACAGGACAGGAATAGTCGAGGACCTTAATAATTAGAAATTAAATTCAACGGCTTAATAGGACTTTCTTTAATGAACTCCATAAACTCCAATGAAAACACGCAACCAACTTGTAACATTGCCAAACAAAAGAGGAGCATTGAGGAAGTCTGAAACAGAAACAGAAACTGCCGGAGAAACTGAGCAGCTCTGGCAGCACCTGTGTTGGGAGAAAGAGTATTAATGTTTTGGGTCTGGAGTCACACGTAGGCCAATGGCAGATTTCCTTCCCTGAAAGGGGTGAGTGAACCAGATATCTTTCTATGACAGTCGTCACTCGATCATCAGTAGGCCAGCTTTTCATTCCAGAACTTTTTTTACTAATTAAATTGAAATTTGGTCATCTTCCACGGGTCGACTCAAGCCCATGTTACCATAGGATTGGCTGGGGTTCTGGATTGCTATTCCACTGAAATTACCACTGCATTCCAGAGGTAGAATGAGGCTGGAAACAAGGTAAAAGAAGGCTATTCAGCCCATCATGTATGCACCAGCTCTCCAATTGAGCATTAGTGCCGCTCTCCTGCCTTTTCCACATACACTTGCACTTTGTTTGTATTTAAATATTCCTCCAATACCCTCTTCAATGTCTCAGTGAAGCTGCCTCCACAATGCACTGAAGACCCCAACCAGTAAATTAAAAAAAATCTTGCACATATTTAAAAACCAGAAGAACTGCATATGCTGTGAATTAGAAACAAACATAGAAATTGCTGGAGAAGCTCAGTAGGTCTGGCAGCATCGGTGAAGGGGAATCAGAGTTCACGTTTCGGGTCAAGTCAGCCTTCCTCTGACTGTTTCCCCCTCAGTTCTGAGGAAGGGTCACAAGACCTGAAACATTCATTCCGATTTCTGTCCACTGACGCTGCCAGACCTGCTGAGCTTTTTTAATTTCTACTTTTGTCGTGCGCATTTTTGTTTCTTTTGCAAACTCCTGTTTGAGAGCAAATGATGACTCAATGGGCATTCTTCAATCACTCACACATAATGCTGTCTACAATTCTAGCTGGTTAAAGGGGAGCACTGGGATAATTTGACTGAGAGGTTGGTTCTGTGCTGAAACATCAACAAAGCAGGTCAAATACCTCCTGCACATCATGGGGCCCCTAATTTAAAGGCAGTCTTTCATTACCCATCACCACTCATCAGTTTAAAACATGTACTGATGCCTCAGGAACATGAAAACTAGCAGCAGGAGTAGGCCACTCAGCCCCTCAAGCCTGCTCCTCCATTTAATACTATCAGGGCCAATCTCTGCTTGGCCTCAACTTCACTTTCCTGCACACTCCTCATTGCCCTTTAAGCCTTTAAACACATTCTAATTAATACTATATCGATCCCCTCCGTGAGCATACTCAATGCTCCAGCATCTATCACATTCTGGAACTACACAGATTCACAACTCTTTGACAGCATTCTTATTATAATTATTACTCTATAACACAAATGAAAAGACCAATGCCCCTCAAACCACAATCATGCAAAATTCACCAATTGGATTCCATTAGTAATTGAGATATAGGGATCTATACTGTGGCAAATGTTACAATTTTTGTAATACAATTACAAAATTGTAATTTTTACAAAATTTTGTAATTACAATTACAAAATAAAAATTACAATTCTTGTCTTTAATCATTAGAAATCTTTTACTTAATTCCTCCAGCATCCTGAAGATGGTTTCGAAGTAATGCAGAAATGACACTGAGAGAATCGGAATATGACTGTCAAGACTTGTATTAATGTGGCACTTGGAGAAACTGTTATTGAAGGCAATAGTTTTGAAAGGGTTAGTGTTGGAGGTTTTATTAAGTTACATCCCAATCTGAAAGCACTATCGGCCCCTTCAACCCAGTACAGAACGGATCATTGGGTCCTTGTGATACAGTGATGGTGTCCCTAGTTCTGGACCAGGAGGCCTGTGTTTGAGTTCTGCCTGCTTCATAGTGATAGCCATAGCCCATTTGATCAAAAATATCCAAAAAGGAGGTTGGCCACAGCCTTCGACAGCAAGCATGAGCTAGTGGTGGGTGGTTCTGCAGTACATACAGTGGGCATGATTTTGTTGGGCTATTGAAATAATGGTATATATTCCAATAATAAGACTGAATAGGCTTGTGTTGTTTTCTTTGAAGTAGGGAGGGGGCGCTGAAGGGGGACCTGATTAAGGTGCCTGAGATAATGAGGGGCATGGATAGGGTGGATAGGAAGCAGCGTTTCTCCTTAGTTAAAGGGTCACTAATGAGGGATCATGAGTTTAAGCTGAAGGGCAGGAGGTTTAATGGATATGTGAGGAAAAATGTTTCTATCCAGAGGGTGGTGGGACCTGAAATGCACCACCTGGAATGGTAGTTGAAGCGGGAAACCTCATGGCCCTTAAAATGGATGTGGATGAGCACAGGAAATGTCGTAACATTTAAGACCTGGAAAGTGATAGATCAGCATAGACTCAATGGGCCAAATGGGGTGCATAATTATTACTCTATAACACAAATGCAAAGACCAATGCCCCTTCAACTACAATCATGCAAAATTCACCTACTGGATTCCATTAATTATTGAGATAGAGAGATTTATAATATGGCTTCTTGCCTTTAATCATTAGAAATCTTTTACCTAAGACCTGATATTATTTTGGAAAATACACAACGGTGCAACATGATGCTGATTCCCCCCGTATTACTGATAAACAATATTGCGTTGCTAATTCCTGTAATGCTGATAGTTACCAATGGTGACATCAGATGAGCTATGAGCTTCCAGGAATCTGTTCAAGTGGTGCCAGACCTTGGGGATCCAGTCAATGATCCGGACCAGTTCTGTGTTTCTTGTTCTGGTGCTGATCTCAGTTTCTATCAGTCTCCGGCGAAGATAGCGACCCAGAAAACCTTTGACTGGTTCAGTGTGGTTAGCACACAGAACCCATCTGCAATTTAAAAGAGAAAAAGATGAACTTCTTCAGAAGGTTCACAGACCTCTCTGGGTTTTCAATGGCAGACGTTGGGATTAACTAGTTAATTCCAAGTCCCTGAGCATCTGTTTCGTGGGGCAGTATTTTGCCTGAAAACAGATTCTAGTGAGGGTTTGGAGCAGCACTTCATTGATGACAACCTTCCCTGATTGTCAAAAATCATAGAGAACACATGAGGTGAGATGTCAAGATAATTCTTTCCATGGACCGTGTGCAATCAGCCCTATTGTTGTATCTACTTCACCATGGTTTCCTGAAACTCAACATAAAGAGTCACAGACTCTCCATGAAAAATGCCAGACTATCTCTATATCAATAGCATGATTAATTTCCTCACATAATTGCCCAGTTAAAACACTGAACTGATTTGTCAATGCAGTGGAGAGGAATCATGTGTTTTGTGCTCCCACATCCTTGAAGTAGTTAGTTTAACTTTTCCAATGAAGGAAACAAACGTGTTTTTTGCACATATGGAAGAGAAAGCAGTGCCAGTGCAGAAACAAAAACAGAAATTGCTGGAAAGGCTCAGCAGGTCTGGCAGCATCTGTGAAGAGAAATCAGAGTTAATGTTTTAGGTCCAGCGACCATTCCTCAGAAAGTGCAGAATGTTGGTTGCAGATGCTCAGGCTCAACTTTTGAATAATCTCATTGAAAATCTTGTGTGTGAGATTATTTCTATGGACATGAGAGAGCACGTGCTTTCCTTGTACATTATGGACAGTTGTTTGAGGATGTTGATGAATTCTTCTAATTCCGCTTCTGTGTGAATCCAAATAAGTTGTGACAACACAAATGCAGAAGGTGCTGTGCCTATGTGACTGCATTGACTAATAAAGCAGTTAATCAGAATAAAAAAGGCACTCCTTGAAACCAAATGTAAACCCTGAAAATCAAAAGGAGCCCTAATAGAAAAACACTGTGTCCTTGTACTGGTGGTGTACTCTTAAGGAAGAAGACAATTTGGAACCTTAACAAAAATGAAACAAAATCCAGTAAGTAGCAGGTCCAGACAGTACCTGAAGTTATGATGAAGTTGAAGGTTAGGAGTGGAAGACGTAGCTTGGTTCATTGTGCCAATGATATAAGGGCTGGAAAATAAATTGTCAAATATTAGAAATTATATAGAGAAATACAGGCATAGAGTTATATAGCTCGGAAACAGGCCCTTCATCCGTGCAAACCAGATATGCTAAATAAATCCAGTCCCATTTGCTAGCATTTGGCCCATATCCCTCTAAACCCTTCCTATTCATGTACCCATCCAGATGCCTTTTTAATATTGTAATCGTACCAGCCTCCACTTCCTTTGTCAGCTTATTCAATCCACGCATCACCCTCTGTGTGAAAAAATTGCCCCTAATGTTCTTTTTATATCTTTCCCCTCTCACCTCAAACCTGTGCCCCCACTACCCTGGGAAAAAGACCTTGGCTATTCACCCTATCCATGCCCCTCGTGATTTTATAAACATTTATAAAGTCTCAGCCTCCGATGCTCCAGGGAAAATAGCCCAACCCTATTCAGCCTCTCCCTGTAGCTCAAACCCTCCAACTCCAGCAACATTTTGTAAATCTTTTCTGCACCCGTTCAAGTTTAATTACATCATTCTTATAGTAGGAAGACTAGAATTGAGTACAGTATTTCACAAGTGGCCTAACCAACGTCCTGTACAATTGCAACCCGACATCCCGACACCTATACTCAATGCATTGACCAATAAAGGCAAGCGTGCCAAACTAGGAAGGAACCCTAGTTCCTTGCCAAACTAGTTCAAGGAACTATGAACCTGCACCCCAAGGTCTCTTTGTTTGGCAAGGCACCCAGGACCCCACCAATAACTGTATAAGACCTGCCCGGGTTTGCCTTAGTTGATTATTAGTTGCATTTAATTGAAAATTCTGGAGTAGGCAAAAAACATACATCAGTTAAAGTGACCTTGACTTTGCAGTAAAAAAACTCAATTGATTAAATGCTCTCTGGGGAAGGAAACCTACTGTTCTCACCAGGACTGGTCTGTCAGTGTGACCCATCCCACAGCAATAGGGGTTGTCTCTTAGCTGTCCCATGAAATGGGGAAGCAATTCATTGCCCTGTTTCAAACAGCTGAAACTTTCACCATCAGGGCAAGAGTGAGTTCCAGACAAACGAGGTCCCTCAGCTGGGCATAAAATTTCCCACAGCACTACCTGAGGACTAAGCAGTGAATTTCTCTGGTATCCAAATGCTTGTGGGTTCCTTCTTATGTGTTGATTTACTGTTGTGTTTCTGGGCAACAATGACTATGCTTGAAAAGTACTTTTTTGTGTGTGAAGCACTTTAAGGCATTTAAGGCATTAAGACATCACTGAAAGGCGTTTAAATTTCTTTCTGTTATATAACAATTTCTGAAGTGTTCAAGAGCTCCAGAATGTTTCATGAAGTTTTACTATTTTTGAAGAAGTATCAAGGAAGACTGATGACGGTAGTGCAATGGATGTTGTTGACATGGGTTTCAGTGACAGAAAAGGGTAATGATCAATGGACGTTTTTGTGACTGGAAATTGTTTTCCAGTGGAACTCAGTGTTGGATCCCTTGCTGTTTGTGCTAAAGAACATAAAACAGGACATACAGGAACAGGCCCTTCATGTCTGGCCAACCATGATGCTGTTCTAAATAATCCCATCTGCCTGCACATGATCAATATCACTCTCTTTCCTGTCTGTTCTGTGTGTGTCTAAATGCCTCTTATATCTTGCTATCATAATTATACATTAATGACTTTGATGTAAAAGTGGGAGGCATGAATTTGACATTTGCAGATGATGCAGAGATTGACTGAGCAGTTGACAGTGAAGTAGATGACAGTCAACTGCAGAATGGCACCAGTTATTTGGTTAAGTGGGCACAAAAGTGGCAAATGGGATTCAATGCAAGGAAAGGTACGGTTTTGCATTTGATGAGGGCAAACAAAGCAAAGAAATACATAACAAACAGGAGGGTATTGAGAGGGGCAGAGGAAGTGAGAGAGCTTGCAGTGCATATCCACAGGTCCTTGAGGTGGCAGGCTCTACAGGGAAGATGGTAAGGAAGGCATATGGGATGCTTTCCTTCGTTGAGTGAGGTATTGAATACAAAAGTGGGGATATAATATATAATATATAGGCACAGCTGGAGTTTCATGAACAGTTCTAGTCACCACATTACAGGCAGAACGTAACTGTTCTAGAGGAATTACAAACAGATTTACACGCATGTTACCAGGGCTTGAAATGTGAAGCTAAGAGGTAAGACTGGATAGGTTACAGTTGTTCTCTTGGACCAGAGAAGGCTGAGGGCTGCGGTTTCATAAAATTAAGAGGGCCTTGACCAGAGTGGGCAATGAAATCCTGTTTCCCCCCATTTGAGAGTTCAATCATCAGGGGGATGAGATTTATTCATCAAGAGGCTGATGAGTGTCTGGCATTTGCTGCACATTTTGGTGGTGAGACAGAAACACATCTCACTGAAGTCTGTGCAAGCAAGATCAGGATTACATGTGATGCGTTGCTGACATTCAGTGGCTAGCCATGAACATGCAAGCAAAGTACTAGAGTACTGCCACAACCACTGATATTGTACTGCAGCAAGCATCAATGCATGCAGCTCAATAGGAGAAAACAGGGGCATACCACAGATTTTCAGACTACCCAGACTCAAGGTTAAAAACAAAAGACTATTACCATTTATGGTACTTGCAGTTCAAAAGGCCATTGAAGATCTCTCCCAGGGAGCTAACATGATGCAAATTGTCCAGGATGATCACACTTGGCATGTCCACTGCATTGGTCTCGCTGTTGCACTGATCTGCAAGGTTTGAAAGATACTGCCGCAATTCCTGAGAAACAAGAATGGCTTGTGTTAATCTGCAAACTCAAACATTCTCATACGGCATGACTGATCATTGGTGACTGCAAGACAAGAACAGAACTTGATTCTCTTTGTCTTTTCAACAGCTATGTCAATTGGAAAATGTATTATTTTCTTCAAAGTGAACTAAGAAATCCACAATTTATGATGAACACATTGATGGATGATTGGAAATCATAAGATCTCATGAACGGTATGGTACTTTGTGGCTAGAGAAACTGCCCAATACACAGGATACCTTTGAATTGTATGCCTTCCTGGTGCTCATTCTATCAAAAGGATAGTGGCATTAGTGTAAGGACAGAGAAGGAAGGATGGGAGAGCTGAGGGGGTCAGATCTATCAGGAAAGATTGAGCAAGCTGGAGTTTTCTTCTTGGGCATGCATAAAGCCTGCAGCGTGGCTTGATAGAGTTCTGTAAAATTATTAAATGGTTTGATAAGCTGGTTTTAGACAAGATGTTTATACTTTGGAACAGTTAAAGTCACTAAGCAATCCAATGAAAAATTCAAAAGAAAAGCCATTATCCAGACCGAGGTTAGAATGTGGAGCTCACTACCATAGGGAGGAGTTGAAGCCAATTACACAGATCCCTTTAAAGGTTTGCATGATTAGCAAATGAGGGAGAAAGGAATAGAAAGATATGTGAACAGAATTAAGTGGTGGCAGAAGGCTGGAGTGGAACACAAACATTAGTCTTGATCTGTTTGGTTGATTGGGCTGTAAACTCTATCATATCAACAACATCTATTACATTGTCATTACAAGAAACAACACACATGTTTTAGATGAAATACAAACAAGGAGTACAGCAGAAACTCAGCAGGTCTGGCAGCATTTGTGCAGAGAGAAACAGCGTTAATATTTCAACTCTTTGTCAGGACTTTGGAAGAGTTCTCCTTGCCAACCAAGCAGTAGCCTGGCAGGATGGATCACTCGATTCCTGTAGAACCCATCCAGTTTCCATACCAATCAGACAATAATCAAGCAACCCAATCAGTTAGATTAGTTAACAAAGATAGAGAATGCTGAAGAAACAGAATTAACATTTGGTGTCCAGTATGAAGAACTATGTATCTTGACTCCAGCACAAAGTCAGTACATTATAGAGATAGAAACGATGGTGTCTGGCGAAGTCATATCAGACTGGAAAGGTTACTTTTGTTTTTCTCTCTCCATGAATGCTGCCAAACCTGCTGAGCTTCTCTTTTACTTCCTGCGTTTATTTCCACAGAATTTTGATTCTGTTGAAATATTAGACCGCACGCGATTTCTTACCTTGCTTGATTTGTGGTCCACATTAAAGGTAGCGATGACCCCATCTGTCAGTTCTCTCCCTTCCCTGAGCACCATGTGCTCAGCAAGCCGATTGGCCAGATAGGTTTTCCCAGTGCCACTTGGTCCTGACAGAATGATCCGGCGGTGATCAGTCAGCAGTGAGACGTACCGTTGCAGCATCGGCTTTGGGATCAGTGTCTCAAACACAAGGGAATCTAAACTATGTTCTGACAAGCCTGAGGGACCGAGCAGAATTGACAAGTGGTAAGGATAGGGTGGAACCAAGGTCTGCTTTCTTTTTCTAAAAATAGTACTAAAAGTAATATTTCATTGACACTCCATTTCACTAAACGTCCAAAGGACAATCCAAAAATATCTCAGCCATTACCCTTCCATTCTCCACCTGGTCATGTATTGGGACTGAGGGAGATTTACCTGGTTAAATAAATACACCAAGTGCTGGAGAAAATCAGCAGGTCTGGCAGTCTCTGCGGACAGAGAAACAGAATTAACATTTTGTGTCCAATATGACTCTTCTTTTCCTTTTCGGTTCCAAAGAGCAGTCATTTTGGAGTCAAGACATTAACTCTCTTTCTCTTTCCCCAGATGTTACCAGACCTGCTGAGCTTCTCCAGAATTCTCTCTGTTTGTTTCAGATTTCTAACATCTGCTGTATTTTGTTTCTGTTAGTCTGTTAAATACTGGTTTAATGACAGCCACATCTTATATTTTCTCAGCTTTAATTTCGGAAACTTGTCAAGTTATGATTTCAAAATAGGAAACAGCAGTTAAACTAAGTCAAAGCTGCTGTGGGTAGGTTTTTTTTCTAATTTATACATGGCATGCGGGTATCACAAGTGAAAGCCAGTAATTAATGCCCATCCTTAATTGCCCTGGAGAAAGTGGTGGTGAGCTGCCTTCCTAAATCATTGCAGTCCTTCAGGTCAGTTAACGGACTGAATTTTACCAGCCCTTCAGCAAAGGGAAGGGAGATGGGAACACCAGCAAACTGGTATAAGAAGACATTGGGTCATGGATCCAAAATATTCCTGCCACCATGCCACTTTGCCAGCAGTGGGATGAAGGCTGGAAAACTGTGGAATGAGAGACCAATCCAGCTGGTTTCTTGTGCAGGTGGCCATCCAATGAAATGTAAGACCATAAGATGTAGGAGCAGAAATAGACCATTCAGCCCATCGAATCAGCTCCACCATTCGGTGAGATCATGGCCAATGTGATAATCCTCAAATCCATTTCCTGTCTTTTTAAGACAGAGGAGTCAAAGGTTATTGGTGGTAGGTAAGAATGTAGATTTTTAAATGCAAACAGATCAGCCATGATTTTATACAGGGAATCATGTACAATTTTGTATAGGATTCCCCCATTGATTAAAAGTCTCTTTCAGCCTCGAACATTCATAATGACTCAGCCTCATTGCGCCTTTGCAGTAAAAAATTCCACAGATTCACTATCCTCTGAGAGAGGAAATTCCTTCACAGCTTAGCCTTAAATGGGTGACCCTTAACTCTGAGATAATGCCCTTGATCCTAGACTCTCTTGCAAGGGGAAACAACTTTTCCATATATCCCTTGTCCAGTCCCTATGGACCTTGTACGTTTCAATAAGGTCATCTCACATTCTTTTATGTTTCAGTGAGTATAGGCCCAATCTGCTCAACCTCTCCTCATTACAGTCCTTCCATACCCAGGATCAGCCTGGTGAACCTTCTCTAGACTGCCTCCCCAATGCCAGTCTGTCTTTCCTTAGAGGAAACATCGCAGCCACCAGGCTGGTGTTGGTTGAGAGCAGAGCAGAGACTTCCTACTTTCTGGCCATTCTTTGGTCTAGGGGTGATACCCTCTGGCAAAGCCACCCTCCTAATGACCAAGCTGCCCGTCATCAGTGCCTTCATCCTGCGGTGCATCAAAGACCATCAAGAGCACTAAGGAACTGCGGATTCCCTCTCACTAGTTAGTAGCTGTTGGTGGGTTGAGGTGTAGGATTAGTGGACGAGATGAAGGGGATTGTCAACAACGCAGACAGCCACGGGAGCACTGGCAACTGGCACCCAACTGCTACTGTGGGCAAAATGTGTTCCTCGTCTGCCTCAAGTAGAGCCGATTCCTGCTTTCCGCCTTGGCACCGGGGCCTCTGCCACTTCAGGAAAGTTCCAGCCGATGTTCTGAAGGTTCTCGTCATCACCCTTTTAGATTAGGGTACACTGAGACCCATCACTATTTTGATTCTGCTTGAGATGAACAAATCATTTCTAATGTTTGGGCTTGGGCAGCATGTTATTGAATGCATTTACCGAGTGTAGCATTGAAGGATTGCTTGGCAGAGCATAATGTAAAATCTACAGAATCATCATAGAATCCTTACAGTGTGGAAACATGCCATTTGGCCCAACAAGTCCACACTGATGCTCTGAACAGCATCCCACCCTGACGCATCCCCCTACCCTATCCCTGTAACCCTGCATTGTCCAAGGCTAATCTACCTAGCCTACACACCCCTGGTCACTACTGACAATTTAGCACCTAATCTGCATATCTTTGGACTGTGGGAGAAAACCGGAGCACCCGGAGGAAACCCACGCAGACACGGGGAGAATGTGCAAACTCTACACAGACAGTCACTTGAGGATGGAATCGAACCTGGGACCCTGGCGCTGTGAGGCAGCAGTGCTAACCACTATAGCCTGCAGATAATCAACAGGATAAAAATCTTTAGATAAAGTCAAGGGGGATTAAGCTGGACTCTGATTCTTCTCAACCAGTAGTTGATAAAGGACTCTATTGGCTGGTTATTTTGGGGGCTATTGTACAGCTGAGTTTTATTCTCCAACAGTAAATAGTTAAATGTTTGATCAATGTGACCAGCATGGTAGCTCATATTAAACACTCACAAATTCAGTTTATGCCCAGTCTTAACACAAATTCCACAGCTTGAACTATGTTTGGTTGTTGCGCCTGTGCTTCCAGCTTGCAGCAATTCCATCAACTCTCTAACAACACTTGTAATGCTGTAAAAACATCTGAAATATGTACTGAAGTAGGCCATTAAGCAGCTCGAGCTTGCTGCTCCATTGTACAAGATCATGGGTGACCTGTTACATTTCAAAATCCACATTCCCACCCAACTCCAATAACATTTGAGCCCTCTGTCTTAAAAATATTCAATGACCTTTGACTCCCACCTCCATCACTTTCAGAGGCAGAAAGTTCCAAAGTTGCATAACCCTCAGGGAAAAGAAATCCAAGCATTTCTGTTGTGAAAGGATGTTCCTTAATTTTAAAACAATGTCCCCTAGTTCTGGGCCCACAAGAGGAAATAGTCTTTCCACATCCACCTTGCCAAGGCCATTCATGATCTTAAACACAGCAATCATTCTTCTGAACTTCAATGGAAACAAGCCCAGTCTGTCAAAACTTTCCTCATAAGACAACCCATTCACTTTAGGTAAGGGGATGGGAAGGCAATGGCCTGGCGGTATTATCGCTGGACTGTTAATCCAGAAACACAGATAACGTTCTGGGGACCCAGGTTCAAATCCTACCACGGCAGATAGTAGAATTTGAATTCAATAAAATATCTGGAATTAAGAATCTAATGATGACTGTGAGTCCATTGCCAAGTGTTGGGGGAAAAACCATCTGGTTTACTAATGTCCTTTAGGGAAGGAAACTGCCATCCTTACCTGGTCTGGCCTATATGTGACTCCAGACCCACAGCAATGTGGTTGACTCTGAACTGCCATCTGGGCAATTAGGAATGGGCAATAAATGCTGCCTAGCCAGCAATGCCCTCATCCCATCAATGAATTAAAAAAAGAATTAGGTATCAATCTCATGAACCACCTTCAATGTATTTGCATAATTCACTCAATAAGGAATCCAAAACTACAATATGAATTTGAGATATGATCTTACCAATATCCTGTCAAATGGAAGCTGTAGCTGTTTTATAACGACTGCAGTATAGAAACAACTTGTTCCTCTGTTCAAGGGAAATATGGATAACCCAAGAAACTTTAGACTGATAAGTCTCACATCAGTGGTTGGAAAGCTACTGGAGAGAATTCTTACAGATAGGATTTATGCGCATTTGGAAAAGCATGGCTTAATTAGGGACAATTAGCATGGGCAGGTCATGTCTTACTAACTTGATTGAATTTTTCAAGGAGATGACGAAGGTGTTCACTGGGGGTCATGCAGTGGATGTTGTCCCTCATGGTAGGCTCAGCCAGAAGATTAAGATGCATGGGATCCATGGTGACTTGGCCGCATGGATTCAGAATTGGCTGGCCCGTATAAGACGGAGGGCAGTGGTGGAAGGGTGTGTTTCAGGCTGGAGGTCCATGAGTGGTAGTGTTCTGCAGGGTTCTGTATTGGGAGCTCTGCTGTTTGTGATAATATATAAATGGCTTGGATGAAAATGTAGGTGGGTGGGTTAGTAATTTTACAGATGATACAAAGATCGGTGGAGTTGTCAATAGTGTAGAAGGTGGTCAAGGGATACACCGGGATATAGATCAGTTGCAGATATGGGCAGAGAAATGGCAGAAGGAGTTTAATCCAGGTAAGAATGAGGTGCTGCGCTTTGGGAGATCAAATGTTAAGGAAAAGTATACAGTTAGTGGCAGGATCCTGAACAGCATTGATGTACAGACAGATCTTGGGGTCCATAGCTCCCTGAAAGTGGTCAAGCAAGTAGATAGGTGGTAAAGAAGGCGTATGGCATGCTTGCCTTTATTGGTCAGGGCATTGAGTACAAGAATTAGGATGTCATGTTGCAGCTTTATAAGACTTTGGTTAGGCCATACTTAGACTACTATGTTCAATTCTGGTTGCCACATTACAGGAAGGATGTGGAGGCTTTGGAGAGCGTGCAGAAGAAGTTTACCAGGATGCTGTCTGGATTAGAGGGCATGAGCTTTATGGAGAGTCTAGAAAAACTTGGATTGTTTTCTCTGGAGCGGCGGAGCCTGAGGGGAGACTTGATAGAAGTCTATAAAATTTGAGGTTCATAGATAAGGTTACGGTCAGAATCTTTTCCCCAGAGTTGAAATGTCTAAAACTAGGGGTCATGCATTTAAGGTTAGAGGGGGAAATGTTCAAAGGAGACGTGAGGGGCAAGTTTTTTTACACAGAGAGTGATAGGAGCCTGGAATGTGCTGCCAGGGGTGGTGTTGGAGGCAGATACGATAGGGCTGTTTAAGAGACTTTTAGATAAACACATAAATATGCAAGGAATGGAGGGATATGGACTAAGGGCAGGGAGAAGGGATTATGTTAATTTGGTGTCATGTTCGGCACAACATCATGGGCCGAAGGGCCCATTCCTGTGATGTACTGTTCTATGTTCTAAGTTGTTGCAAACTGCCCAAAATTTCTGAGATGGTATTAATTGCAAGTAATGCCAGAGTACACCTCAAAATTTGCTCCAATTTTCTCATTGTGTGGTGAATAAAATTTTCTGAAAATTTCCATTGGATATTGGATTCAATACATTGGAAAAGCTGATTTCAAGTAAGGATAAACAGATGATACAAAGATTGGTGGAGTCGTAGATAGTGTAGAAGGTTATCGAAGGATACAACGGGATAGAAATCAGTGGAAAGACCAAACTTATAACTTATTAATTCTTTGAACTACATGAGCATTTCAGCTGGGAGACTTGGGAGTAGCCATTTATGTACATTTTTCACAGTGTGCTGAAGAAAATGCAATTGTTAGTTTTTCTCATTATCTAAACATACTGATGCCACAAAGGTAGAAAAAGTACATTATATGCTGGAATGAAGAAAATTGTTTCTCTAATTTACTTCACTAAGTTGCTGTAAAACATCAGAAATTCTAGAGAATCCAAACTTTCATGAGTAATTTATATCCTGTTTGAAACTGGCACAAGCTCAGAGATATGGGTGCTGCATTTTTGTATGGGAATAATTAACATAGGTTGAAGAGCAAGAGAGGGAATCAGTGTGTAAAAGGTTGGGCAAATTTTAGCATGGGGGGAATATAATGCTTAAGTTGCCTCTGACTATATTCCCTGATCTTTAACACTGAATCGCAGCATTCTGTTATACTCTCACTGTAATTTAAAGTTGGCAAAATCCTACCAGTCCATAGAATTGTTCATTCATTAGTGAGAGAGACAGACAACTGGTGGTGGTTTAACCTGAGGGTCATCGTGCCTCAGGTGAGTGGAAAGGTTGTGAAGGAGAATCCTTCATAGTAACCTCAGCTGGTGCAGGAATTGAACCCATGGCATTGGCTTCACTCTGCATCACAAAGCAGCCATCCAGCCAACTGAGTTAGCCAACCTGCATGCTGCATTGTACACTGTAATGCTTTATCATTGTTTCAGTGCAGACTTTCAAAACATTCTGAGCCTACTACACATTCAAGTCTATCGAACTGAAAGACATGGATTGCAGTTGTGGAAAATTCTTACTGCAATTGTGAATAGAATAGACAAGCAATACCGAATATCATCAGCAGGGGACGTCAGGAATCCATGATTCTAGGACAACTGACCTCTGTTCTTCTAATTGTCAATGAAATTACAAAGTTATTCAACATTCTTCATCAAGTAAGACTGAGGACAGAATCTATCATTTGGAACAAAGTTTCTGTGAGTTGCATTCTTTCTCCACCTCTGATTCTCAAAATTTCTCTTTTAAAAGTCAACTGAAGGCTACACAATGAATAAGTTCGTACCTTTCAATGACATTGTGACTGTGTTGCTTTCTCCTACTAAATAGCCGCAGGGTAACAGTTCTGGCGTGTCTACATTATTAGTGCGTTGGATGTCTCCTATGCTGTAGCCCAGCACACTATCTGAGTTGAGGCCTAACTGGCTGACTGGATCCACATGGATAATGTATTCCTGCAAAAGATAGCATCATCAGAAACCATAACATTGTCTGCATTCTGAACTAGACCGGGAAAACAAAAACTAGAATTAACTGAGACAACAAGGTGCAGAGCTGGATGAACTCAGCAGGCCAAGCAGCTCATATTTGAACTGATACAAGGCAAGAACTGTAAGAAAGTGGGAACAAGGGACTGAGTTGAATGATCAGCCGTAATCATATTGAATGGTGGTGCAGACTCAAAGGGCTGAATGGCTCCTATTGTCTATGTTAAGTCAGAGAAACTGACTGATCGTATTTAGGTAAATGTAACAAATAGCATTGTCTAACTGCTTCATTTTAAAGCATGGCAATACTTTTCCTCATGTTATCGACTGTACAAAAGATTTTAAGGATTAACTCCAGTGATTTCCTGTGCTACTCTCCTCCCACATTATCAACATTAATTTATCTGTATTATTAGTAATAATGAAGTCAGTGAACCATGTAATTTTATTCTGTGGTACTTTTCCAGGTTGGCAACTGCCCAGGCTGTCCAAAAAATAATTTGCAAGTTTGGGCACCAAAGAGTACAAAAGCAACCATTGCTGTGATAGCCCTCAAGGCTAAATAGCCTGCTGACGTTTCCTGAAGTGTGCAAGGGAGCGGTCAGCGAGGAATCAGTACATTGAGGATAGGAAGGAAGAATATTAGAACAAAAGAGGAAAGGGGAAACCATGAAATGAACAGACATTTCAAAGCACTGTTCTGGCTTAAACTGAATAATAAACGTCTGGTGACATTTATTACAAAGGAGCCTTCATGAGCTGCCCGTGGTATGTTTAGTACCTAAACATAATGACAGCTAACTCAAAATAACAGAAACATTTTAACCTCCCACTCTTCAACCATTAAACTAGCAGCAGAGTGTTTGAATTCTTTTACCTTGAACAGACGTCGCACAACACCATCCAAGACGTCCCACTTTGTCTTACCGCTGACTCCAATGCAACCAACTATATATTGACGAATCCGAGACTCCTGTGGTGAAGGAAACAAGAGAAAAATTGATCTGTATTCAATGGCACAATGTACAATTAATCCAATTCCCATGGTCATGGAACTGACAAGCCAAAAGCAAGAGACTTCAGCTTCACAGAAGATGATCTCATTAGCAGTGTCTTTTTGCTCGTCAATTATTTTTCTGCTCATAAAGATAAGAAAGCTAAAAATAAAATCATGCAATTCGGTCTCTTTATCAAATGCATTTCTCTCAGTTAGAGATTGTAAGAGTGCATGACAAGTAAATATTATCCAATCATGTGCTGTAATCCCAATCTCAATCACAACACTCATGGCAGAATCAGATCAACATTTCCATTTCTCGCACCCACTAACCTCTGCCTTCATCTAGAAACATTGTGCTGAAAATGTAGGCAATTCCACGCTGTGGCCGAATTTTAAAGATTTTGTTCATAGAATGTGAGTACTACTGGCAAAGCCAGCATTTGTTGCCCATCCCTAGATGGCCCCCCCAAGGAACATGATCAGGGACCACTTTCTTGAAATTGCAGCAGTTCATGTGGTGCATGTACATCTGTGATGCTGTGTTAACCTGGAGGTCTGGGGCTTTGGCCTAGTGACAGTAAAGGTGCAGCGATATAGTTGCATATCAACAGGCTGTGGGATTTGAAGAGGAACTTGCAGTTGATGCTCCTGAGGCATTCAGGACAGAGGGCATTGAATGATTACTTGGGTGGAAATAGTGCGCTGGGCACTGGGGAAAAGACAGGAGATTAGCACTAGGGGATAGAACAGCAGGCTGAATGGCCTCCTTCCGTGCTGTAACAATTTGTGATGCTGTGTTCCCTTGTCTTGTTCTCCTCATAGATACATGTCGCTCATTTGAAAGGTGCTATCAAAGGAAGCTTGGCAAATCACTGCAGTGTATTTTGCAATCGATACATACTGCTGCCTTTATATGCTGCTGGTGGGGGCACTGAGGGGGTGATGCTGGGGAGTCTTTGTCATGAGCTTTGTTTTGTTTGGTGCAGAGCTTTCTGAATGTTTTTGGAGCTACACCCGTCCAGGCAAGTCGACAGTATTCCATCACACTCTTGACACGCATTATGGAGTCAGGAGGTCAGTTACTTGCTGCATGATTCCTAGCCTCTGACCTGCTCTAGTAGCCAGACTACTTGTATAGTTCATCCGGTTCAGTTTCTGGTCAACGATACCCCCCCTCCCAACGTGTTTGAAAGTGAGGGATTCAGTAATGGTAATGCCATTGAATGTCAAAGGGAAGATGGTTCGATTGTCTTGCTGGAGATGATCATTGCCTTATATTTGACATGAATGTTAGATTAAAACTAAACTCTAACAGGACTAGACAGGGTATGCGCAGGAAGAATGTTTCCAATGACCAAGCAGCCCAGAACCGGGGGGTCACAGTCTAAAGATATAGGGTGGACCATTTAGGACTGAGTCCTTGAGAAATTTCTCCACCCAGGGAGTGGTGAGCCATTGGAATTCTTTGTCGCAGAAAGCAGTTGAGGCCAAAAAAACTGAATATTTTCAAGAAAGAAAGATAGATATAGTTCTTTGGGCTAAAAGGATCAAAGGGTATAGGGTGAAAACAGGAACAGGAGACTGAGTTGGATGATCTGCCGTGAGCATGTTGAATAGTGGAGTAGGCTCGAATAATGAAATGATCTACTCCTACTTTCTATGATTCTGTGAATGTTGTCCAGGTCAGCCTGCAACAGTTCATGGGTTGTTTCACACTTTGTCAAGTGAGGAATGGTGTTGAACACTGTGTAGTTATCAGTGAACTCCCTCCCTTCTGACCTAATGATGGAGGGAAGGTCATTGATGAAGCAGCTGTGGAGGGTTGGTCCCAGATCCTGAGGAACTCCTGCAACTACATCCTGAATTGAGATGTCTGATCTCCAACAACCACTATCAATTTCCTCTATGCTGGACATGATTCCAACCAGGGCAGAAATTTTCTATTGATTCCCACTGGCTTTCAGTTTTGCTAGGGGTCCTTGCTGCCACACTCAGTTAAATGCTGTGTTAATGTCAATCGCACCTGACCTCCGGAAAGTAGCTCTTTAGACCAGGTTTGGACCTAGGCTACAATGGAATTTGAGCCAAATGGTCCGAGGACAAGCAAATCAAGCATCAATGAGCGGGTCATTTGTCAGTAAGTGCTACTTCAGGGTAATAATGATGACCATTTCTATTGTTTTAACAATGATTGAGAGTAGACTGATGGGGCAGTGCTCAATTGGTATTGCATTAGGAGACTAAGATTGTGTAGGCAGGAAAGCAGAAAATGACAAGTGCACATGCTTGAAGTAACACTTGAGGATCTGCATGTGAACAGATACAGAGGATCTCCAAAGAATTACATTCTTTTAGTGCCCAGAGTTTGAGCGTGGCATTATGATGGTTACGATCCGAGACTAATCTAACGATCACTGATCCAAATGCCATTATACCATGTTTTGAGTTTGAATTTAAATAATATGGTAATGTATGAGCAAGCATCAGGAAGATAAATGACCTTCGAAGCAGTCAACTGTTCTAAAAACCCAGCCTACTCAGCAATGTCCTTCAGCAAAGTGAAGTCTCCATCACTATCTTGCTTGCGCATGCATTGCATGGTTCTAATTCCTTCTGAAATAGTCAAACAAGTAACTCCATCATTAGGAAGAATTCTCATTAAACATGATAATAAACTCCAACGTGACCTTAGGCCAGCTCCTAATTCTTTTGGAAGCCGAATTCTCTCAAATAACACCAAGATAGCAGTGTCACATATTACCAGGGGCATTTTCAGCAATGGAATCGTCCAGCTTGAATCTAATCTCAGAATAAGAGGTTGCTCATTTAAAGTCAGAGATGTGGAGAAACTTCCTTCTCTCAGAGGATAGTGAATCTGTGGAATCCTTTACCGCTGAGTACTGTAAGAGTAAAGTCACCATAGTCCTGCTGGATCCATAAGGCCTCAGGCTAGGGGACAGGTTGAGAAGGAGAGTCATTTCAGCCAGTGTGGCAATTAAACCCACATTGCTGGCCTTACTCTACATTACAAATCAGCCATCCGTCTAACTGAGCTAACTAAGAGAGGCATAGATGTTGGATCATTAAATATATTCAAAACTGAGTTAGAGTTTTAATCAGTTAGGGAATCAGGGTTATGGGGTAAAGGCAGGAAAGTGAAGGTGAGAATTGTCAGATCAGCCATGGTCTCAATGAATGGCAGAGTGGGCTGGATGGGCTGAATGGCCTGCCTGCTCCAATGGCATATGGTCTAGCATACCTCCTTCCATCTCATCTCTTCTTGCAAGCGGACTACTATCTTCACGTGCCTGCCTTCTTTGCGGGCCGAGCCATCTGCGTTGTCATCGAGTAGCATATCTGCTTAACAGTGACATCAGTTAGAAACATGAAATGACAAGAGGAGGCATGTCCACTCTGACAGGTTCAGACAATGAGACAGATATTGATTGCGACCCAAAGTTCATACAAATGGAACTGCATTGTTCCACTGCTCGGCAATGTTAATGTGGGACAGATGACTAACTTGTGATATATGTAAACAGTGAACACACACTGATATGCAAGCAACACTCCCCCACAAAGTAAAGACACCATAGTCCTACCGGACCACAGGGCTGCTTTCTTATTAGAGAAAGATGGCTAAAGGTGGTTTAAGCTGAGGGTCACCCCGCCTCAGGTGAAGGGAGAGGTTGAGGCAATCTGTGTGGGAATTGAACCCATGTTACTGGCCTCAGATTGGCTGTCCAGCCCACGACAATATATTTTAAACAATGGAAGGTTGAAAACCAAAACTTCTGGTTTTAGCCAGAATGTTTAATCTGAAGTCTACAAAGTGTCCATCGTTGAGTACACAATGGCTGCTCTAGTAATCTATACGCAGCTGGAACAGGGGTTGGTTATTTCTGAAGAAGATAAAAAGAAAGTACTGAGGAAGCTGACAATCTGAATTAAAAACAAAGCGCTGGAGAAACTCAGAAGAACTGGCAGCATCTGAGAGGCAGAAACAGAGTTAACACATTACGACACTTTGTGTTCCTTCTGGCTATTTTTGAGTTGCATACCAAGACTGGTGGACTCGGTCAGGTTGAGACTGTGTTGGGAAAGGCCAAGTGACTGACGAGGGGATGAAGAGATGGAGAGCTGCGACTGGGTGCGACTACAGCTGCCTTGGGTTTCAGACTTCAACCGATCATTCTCTGCCTTCAGCTTTTCAATTTCAGTCTAGGAGGGAAAAGGATTTAAACATTAAAACAAGCCGGACTGATTATAAACACTTTATAATCGTGCAAAAGACCTTACATTAAACAGACACTCTGGTTTCCCACTTATATCAGTGAACACTCGAAGCATTTTGGAGGACACCATAAAAAGAAACAGACTGCTTAGAGTCATGGAGGTCCACAGTACAGAAAAAGGCCTTTGGCCCATTGAGTCTGTGCTGGTCAAAAGCAACCCATATGGTGTCTTTCGTGACCATGGTCATCACTAAGCACCTCGTAGCCAATTAAGTTTTTTTTAAATAAGGACCGAAAGAATTGCGGATGCTGTAAATCAGAAACAAAAACAGAAATTGCTGGAAAAGCTCAGCAGATCTGGCAGCATCTGATAAACTCAGAGGAAGGGTCACTGGACCCGAAACGTTAACTCTGATTTTGCTTCATAGATGCTGCCAGACCTGCTGAACTTTTCCAGCAATCTCTGTTTAAGTTTTTTTTTAAAGTTTAGTTACTATTGCAATTTAGGACGCACATCAAATTCCCACAAACAGCAAAGTGATAATGACCAGAAAATCTGTTTTCTTTTTGTGATATTGATTGATGGATAATTATTGACCAGAATAGTGGGGATAACTTATTTGGTCTCCTTCAAAATTGAGACAATGGGTCTTTTAAATTCACCACATGTATAACATCTCAGTAACTTAATATCTCATCTGAAAGATGGCATCTCCAAAACTGCTGCATTCCCTCAACACTGCACTGGAGGATTAACCTCAATTTGTCCACTAGAGTGGATGCAAACCCCAGGCCTTACAGCTCAGAGACAGGAACGCTACCACAGCTTGCACTGCTGTCTGACACTTTTAATTTGCCTTAACTATTTCTTAACTGCTTGTGCAGGGCCTGTAAAAATTATCTCTGGAAAACTGGTATCTGATTGACATATTTGAGCACAATATACCAAATCATCACTGGGTGAAATGTTATTGATTCGTTAGAACTGTCACAGCATTCTGAAAGTTGCACAGGATAATTTATCGTTACAACATCAAAAAAATGTCCATTGCACCAATGACACTATCCAATGTGAATTATATTCCCACATAATTGTTTCAAAAGAAACCAGATTGATTAAAATAACAGGTCACCATGAATAAGTAACATAGTGAGCAAAGTTGTTGAAGTTTATTTTCCTGTAAATTTACCAATGTTAAGAAAGGAAATCTGAATCAAACACAGAGAATGCTGAAGAAACTCAGCAGGTCCAACAGTGTCTCTGGAGAGAGAGAGAGAGAGAGAGAGAGAGAGATATAGAGAGAGAAACCGAGTTAATGTTTCAAGTCTGTTATGACTTCTCTTCTTCTCTATCCACAGATGCTGCCAGACCTACTGTGTTTCTCCAGCATTCTCCATATTTGATTCAGATTTTCAGCATCTGCTGTATTTTATCTTTATTTGAGAAAGTAAATATCTAATTAAGATCTAACCGGAACATTCTGACATTGTTAGAACAATAGGCTTGCACTTTTGAATTCACAGATAAACATCAGTATGAAAGCCTCTTCTCCATCCCTTTAAACATAAGGAACTGGAGGAGTCGGCCATTCACCCCCTCGAGCCTGCTCTGCTATTCTCTGAGATCACTGCTTATCTGGTTGCATCCTCATTCCAGTTTTTCATCTGCGCCTCATACAGTTGATTCCTTTGCCCTAATCTTATCGTTTATCTTGCATAAGATTGTATATTGATACTGAAATGCTGCATTTTTGAATAATGTCATTATTATGGTATATTTACACAAGTAAATACTATTAAACACCAAATTGTGAACTTTATGTTAAATTACATGAAATTGTTAAATTATTAAATTATGCCAATGATTAACAGCACTAAGTTTGATCTGTATTTATAGTGGCTCAGTGCTGCCTCGTAGTACCAGTGACCCGGGTTCAAACCCACCCTCAGGCGACTGTGATGGAGTTTGCACATTCTCCCCGTGCCTGCATGCGTTTCCTTCTGGGTGCTCTGGTTTCTACCCCCAGTCTAAAGATGTGCAGATTAGGTGAACTGGCCATGCTAAATTGCCCATAGTGTCCAAGGATTAGCCATGGGGAATTCAGGTTCCAGGAATGGGGTGGGTCTGGGTGGAATGCTGTTTGGAGGGGTTGTGTGGACTCGATGGGCCGAATGACCTGTTACAGCATATAGGGATTCTATGTATTTCTATTTAACGCTTATCCCTTATGAGTAGCTTTTGGCAGACTAATCTGCTGGACGAATAACAAATGATTATCGTTTGGGATGATTGGGAAACTGTTCAACATGATCCCATGAAAGAAATTCCATTTAGAAAGAAAATTAACTTAAAATTCCACATAATGTGACCAGCACCCAAACCATTTATTTCTATTGTTTAGTGAATGCAGTTCTCTGGAGCATGAGGTCACCGTCCCACCGCCTCCCCCCCCCCCCCTCCCCCCCCCCCCCCCCCTTAGCTGAAGGACCATTCTTTTCATGGAGGGTAAAAGCCTAGCATTTGGAAGATTCTGAAGAAGGGTCCCTGGGCATGAAATCTGAATTCTGCTTTCTCTGCACAAATGCTGCCAGAGCTGCTGAGTTTTCCCAGCAATTTCTGTTTTTGTTTCAGATTTCAAGCATCCACAATTCCTCATTTAATTTGACAGATGAATTTGGTCACAAGGACCTTACCTGTGACTTCCTGTGTTTCCCATTGTTTCATTCAAAGAATGTTTGCTGGTAGATGTTGCTCAGGAAGGTTTAACCTAGCATCCCCAGGTCAATCATCAATAAACTGATGGGAGAGTCCTAATCAGCAGTGAGTCCTGTTTTGTTTCAAGATGCATTGGTCACTGCAGCACCCAATTTATTCATTTGGTTGCTGTCTTGGGTAAATAACAGCGATGCAAACACATCCAGCCATAACAGACATCCCTGTTGTTTTGCATTCCTTTTAGCTAGAGAAAAAAATCTCAATATCTATCACAGTCCACCCACCAAAGAACAGCTGCAGCAACATCTGGCCAAACATGGCCTCTGCTGAATAATGGGCTTTCCAAGTATCCTCTGGACAAATTATTTCACACATGCAGTTCTCTGATGACCTGCTTATAATAACGTCACCTTTCCACTTGGAGCTCGTCCTATGCATGAACAGGCAAAAAAGGTTGGCTGGTCTACTGAATATTGCTTTTGCCTCTCTGGAACAGCTCCAGGGATACCACATATGAAACAGACTGCAGGATCAACAATAAGGACAGCATTCTCTTCCTCAACATTTAAGCATCTTTTGAAAGATTACCACAATAGGAGCAACTTAACTGCAGATCGCAGCAAAGCAAAGGGGCCTAATGCTCACCTCTGTGTTATAACTTCCAGGCAACTTTGCTGTTTAAATCGTTCTAAGAACTTTAGGGTTTAAATAATTGACACCTTTCTTAAGAACTTGGTACAAGTTCGAATCACTGGACAGAGATGTAATAGAAACACTCTACTTGGCCTAAGCTGAACCTGCAGTGTTGAGCTGAATGCTCTAACTGGAGCCTTTCAGATGTTGCCCCCAGGTGGGTATTAAGTCAATTTTGAAAACCAACAGAGGTATTCTCCTCTGAAACTTTTTTGGAAGAAGAGTCACACTGGATTCTGTTTTACTCTCCCCACAAATGCTGCCAGACCTGCTGAGTTTCTTCAGCAGTTTCTGTTTTTGTTTCAGATTTCCATTATCTGCAGTTTTTTTTTAAGTTTTATCGAAGTGTTCTCCTCAATTGGTGTCCATGGCTGCAAGAGCCCACCATTATTAAACTTCAAAAGTTACTTCATTGGTTGTTCAGCACTTGGTTGCGGAATGCAAATGCATTCTTGAAGAGCTTACTTAGCCACGCTGGAGCAATGCAAATGGCTCAGTTTCTTAAAAAAAACTTTTCAGTTGGGCTTTGCAGCCTTGAATAGACAGGGCTGCGACAGAACCTTCGGGGAGGAAGAACAGGTCTAAGTGAATCTACACAGGACAAGGGGACCAGGATTCAGCCCAATGGTATCAATGTGGACTTCACAAGCTTCAAAATCTCCCCTCCCCCCACCGCATTCCAAAACCAGCCCAGCTCATCCCCGCCTCCCTAACCTGTCCTTCCTCCCACCTATCCCCTCCTCCCACCTCAAGCCCCACCCCCATCTCCTACCTACTAACCTCATCCTGCCCCCTTGACCTGTCCGTCCTCCCTGGACTGACCTATCTCCTCCCTACCTCCCCACCTACACTCACCTTTACTGG